GTTCTATCCGCACTACTAGAATATTATGGTCAACAGTATCGAACACTGCACTAGAGCAGGGCGATATGACCAAAAGTATTTATCACGATATACATTTGAAAATTTGCGATAACGATATAACTGACGATATAATTGACACTAGACAAAATACTTTACAACTCCACAACTTTATTATTGCAACAAAAAAAAACCCCATCAATGTATTTTCACTTAAACAAGCAGCTGTTTTTTATGTGCATTAAAGTTATATAAAAATTTAACTGTGCAAAGGCAAAAAATCCTTGCTGACAGTTTAACCAAAAGGCATTTCCAGTGAAAACCATAACCATGTAGAATATCCACAAAACTTAACCCTCCTGTTATGTTGGTTTCCAGGAACACTAATTATGTTCCTGGGTCAATTTGATCCGGGGCATGTTTACTCATCCAAAAGTGTCAGAAACACTGGCATTGATTATTTTACAAATTTGTTTTATAATTTTGATTTTTTTCGTTTTCTGTAGTGATACAGATGACATGTGATATCTCTTCTGTTCTGGGTCAATCTGACCTGCAACATAACAGGAGGGTTAAAAAGAAGTTATACACACACACAATACAGTAATATTATGTTGAAGCACAGTACATATCACTCCGCGAGGCTCCTGCCTACGATAGCCGTAATGCTAGACAATCCATCAAGCAGTGCGGGTTTGTAGCTTAGCAAAGTGGTACTGAAACATTTGACAGATTTTCGAGCGCCGTGTACGACATAAAATCGTTTCGAGGTCAGTAAACACAACCAGAATTCATACATAAGGCACACAGGATTATAAGGGGCACTGTCGATTTTCACAAAGATCAAGGGATTGATTTTAAGTGAGCCGTATTTTCCAAAAGACATTGTAATAACGACGGCCGCTAGCATGCTCTACCAAAAATAGTGCTTTGTTGTGTATCTGATGGACGAAAGCTAAACCAGTTCCACACCACTGAAGTTGCAGCATTTTTACAAACCAATTCTGGTTCATCCATTTCATTCAACGATCCGCTTTTGGCCTTCTTATTCTCCGTCGCCGCCATGCTTTTTTTCCGCCATGTGCATATGAAAACAAAGGCACTGTGCATGCATGTTTTACCCATATTCTATCGCAATATTTCATTTTCTTATCGTTGCTCAACATTATACCGGTATTACCGTGAATGGTATGATATGGCCCAGCCCTACGCTGTACTGAGGTCTAGCAGGACAAGCACAGAGATGAGTCCACTGTCAGAGGCCATAAGAAGCTCATTTGTAACCTTCACTAAAGCTGTTTCTGTGCTGTGATGAGCTCTGAAACCTGACTGAAACTCTTCAAATAAGACATTCCTCCTCTGCAGATGATCTGTTAGCTGTTTGACAGCTACTCTTTCAAGGATTTTTGATATGAAAGGAAGGTTGGAGATTGGCCTATAATTAGCTAAGTTGAGGCTTGTTCAAATTAAGCAGATAAAAGAGCTCAAGCTCCAACTGTTGAACTTGCGTTTGGTGTCTTTTCACTCAATATGAGATCCAAAGAGATGTTTATACAAGTGAAGGAAGCAATCATTAGGCTAAAGGATGGATGATGACACGAATATGTTACACTTTGGACGTAGCTAAACTTGTGCCAGAAACCTTGAAATATTTCCAAGAAAGACAAATGAAAGAAAAAAGACAAATTCACAACTCTTCATGCAATAGAAATACAGAAGGTTTAGAATAACAGGTACAAACCACTGGTTACACTCAAGAACAAGAAGGCCAGATTAGACTTTTAATAACAATAATCTTTAGACAGATGCAACCAACAGTAATTTGTACCAGAAGGATGAGAAGAGAGAAGTATAGAGAAGAAAACAGCTATTGATCTGAAGCATACCACATCATCTGTCAAACATGGTGCAGGCAGTCTTATGAAACAACCATGTATGATGTGACTGCAGATAGAAGTAGCAGGATGATTTCTGAAGAGTACGGGGCCATGCTCTCTGCTCAGATTCAGACAAGTGCTGTAAAACTGATTGGCTGCACTTCACAGTCATATGGATAATGACCCAAAGCATACTGCAAAAGCAACCCAAGAGTTTGTCAACCTAAAACAAATGGGATGTTACAGTTAAAGCCTGGCAAAGCATCTCAAGGGAGGAAACACAACATTTGTTTCCTCTCTTAAAGATGACAGTCTGCACTTTAGCCACATCTTTATTGTTTGAATTAAAATCCGCTGTGGATGATGTGTATATATAATGTAAGGAAGAGCAACACAGCAAATCCTGATGTCAGACTGTCCTTATCATTTCTTTATGTTACCTACATGGCTGCGGGACGATTACCTGGTTAAGTGTGTCACTAACAGTATGTCTGCCCTGGGTGTGAACTCACTGCTCAGCCGGCTTTTAAATTTGTATGTTTTCTACATTTGCAGGGTCCCTCAAACAGCAGAAAAAGTACAAGTAGTACACAATATAATGTTTGTGTTCAAGCAACACCACTATGGCTGCTTTTCTCTCGGCCTGACATTAAAATTCACTTTTGTTTGTCCCAGCTGTGACGAGAGTGCAAGAAGGAATCACGTTACACCTTCAGCCTCAAACAGCTTCTAAGAGACATACTGAGAAAAAGCAAGAAAACGAGAAAAAGATTAAAATAAAATAAATAGCTGCCCTTCAACACTCAATTAGTCGGCATTTGCGAAATTAATGTTAAATTTAAAATGTCACCACCACATTTCAAGTTTGAGTTTTTTTACCCCTCTGGCATGGTGTGATATTCTTATTAATAGCCCGTAGAGAGGATTGGTAGATATTTTTTATCAAAATATGCATATGTAATTAAAACGCATGTCAAGTTGATTTTGTGGCTAATTAATTACAGCAACAGATGGTAATGTAGCTGAAATCTTCAAATAGGAACGAGTCCAACATGTAATTTGCCTCAAAGCAAACATAAAAAAAAGTCTTAACAGCAATTTTATGTCTTGCCTATTTGGTGGACATTTTATTACATATGTGCACCTCATGTCGTTGTCGTGAGCTTATAATGGAAAAACATTATGTAAGAAGCGAGAGTCGGTGTGACTCAGCGGGAAAGAGCTCAGTGTTATCACCCCCAAGAGTTTAATAAATATGGAGTTCAATAAAACATAGAGGTCAATAACTGTAACTACTGTATATTGCTTTGGTGAAAGCACTATCCATTAAGTAGAAAATATTTGCACAGAGTAGGTAAGATATGGTTTATAAGCCATCGCAGCAGCAATGTATGCAGTTACATTGCCCAGTTAGAATTTCATCGTCTTTTAAATGAGCTGGCTTCACCTTAAAAAGCAGCTGTTTTCGGTTTGAGAGGAAACCCTTTAGATTTCCAGTCTGTAAATGTGTTTTTCCCCCTTTTATATAAGATCTGACATATCATTGTTTCATATTATATCACAGATTTTTTCGATGCCGAGGTTTAATTGCATGACCCGCAGCTTTTTTATATACGGTACAGCCCAGCATCTGATTTCACCTACTGCGACACTACAGTAAAGGCATGTCAGTTAGATTTCCATTAGATTTTATTGACTCTTCCTGGCAGCGGTGGAGAATTTAACTTATTTGTTCAATCTTAACTATCAAAACATGCCATGGCAATCTTCACAAGCACGGGAAGCTTTTTCAGAAAACAAAAGCTGTTGTAGACCCAAAAACTACTTTGATTTTTTTGAGGAGACACACATCACAGCATAGGCCCAGTGGTGATATGTGCAGGCCCTCCGGCTCTGCTGTAACTACAGCTTTGGCTGTAATAAACAATGTAGTGGCCCCTCCGAAGGCTTTCACGAATGACTTCCTGTTTTGAAATCTTGAGTTATCTCATTATCTTAATGTGTCTGATTTCACTTTAAGTCTGATGTAGCCTGCAGCTGCACTGTGTGTGTGTCTGCGTGTGTGCTTCTTGTGTGCGAAAACATTTTTGCCCATGTATCATGCATGTGAGATTGTGTATTTGCATCTCATTTTAGTTAAGTGGTCCCTGGCATCAAACCAGTGTGCACTCTTCCCTCATTTATTACATTTTACAACATGTGTTGGAACCTGATGTTATTCTAAAAACCTGAGTAATGAACACTTGACTTGCACAGATGCCTTTATAAACGATGAGAAACACGCCTCTAAGATGTGTGTCCCTCTTACTCGCTCTGTCTCTCTCGTGTCTTTGCAGGGGAAGAGGAATAAGCCCGGGATGGAGGCTGCCAGCTCTCCAGATTCAGTGAGAGGTCGAGGGGAAAATAAAGCCATCAAGTAGGTGGCAGGGAGGGAGTAGATGGGGGCACGTGGGAATAATGTATGATGTGGTGATAGTATCACATTTGAACAGCTATTTGTGATTGCAAACTAATCTCATAGCTCTGTGCGTGGACTCAAATGCTTTCCCTGAAATTATGCCCTAAAGATAGTGAGCATTTATCATATATATATATATATATACGATGTGTGACGCTGCTACTGTGCCCATAAAAAAAAACTACCTGATTTAAATTTGTCCTTGGGCAGCTCTGGACCACTTCCAACATTGCTGCTATTTTTAGATCACTCTTTGAAAATCATGTTCTGACCTCCTGGTCTGCTGATGTAAATCAAAGGCTGCATTATGGTAAATGGTCTTTACCTTATATTTAAACCCCTCCCCAATTTTTAGACATAGCAACAGCCTACTCACCGTTTGCTCTAGTTGGAATAAATAGAAATAAGCACACTAAGCTAATTGTTAAGCTTAGGATATCGACAGCTATGAATATACTTCTGCCCCTGTTTCAAATATAATTAAGCATTATTGAATACAAGAGGGTGACACTAACAGCTTGCCACAAATCTATTAGCTTGTTTGAGCTATTTCCTTTGACGTTTTTATTCTGGGTGCATACCTGACTTGTTTTTTTTGGTGTTTTAAATTCATACTGACTTTTCTCCCTTGCCTCCTTATCTCCTTTGTTTTGTTTCCTCATCGTTGACAGCGTGATAAAACACACAGGTCACGTGCTTCCATCCTCCTCCTTTCTGAGCGTTTCGACCCACTTTTCATGATACTGGGTGACCTTAAACTTGTAGTCATCCTGTAGCCAAATTCATGTCAAATTTATTTTAAAAGTATTTAAAAAGAGTATTTTTCTTTTTAGATTTTCTTTTTAATTTATTTATCAACATTTCTCGAGATCTGCTTTGTTTTCTCTTCTTTATATTTGTCTGTGATTGTTTACTGCTCTCACCTGTCTCACCTTTTGCTTTCTCTCTGGCTACAGCGATCTAGACAGAGACTTTTGGAATAACAATGACAGCAGCAATGTCCAACAGAGGTGGAGCTCCTACCCACCCAAGGAGTTCCTCTTAAACATGTCTCCCTATGCACCCTACGGAGATCCCCGCCTCACGCCCAAGTGAGTCTCATTCATGTCTGGTAAGGGACTCCTCTGTCTGGGCAGGGCTGTAATGAACAGGGGCTTCTGTACAACGCTGTAGGAGTGGTCAACATAATAAAATTAGATATTATTATAGTAGCAGATAGCAAATGGGTGATTTTAGTCCAATCTTTTGCTATTTGAGGTCATAGGTATGAGACAAATAGCACAAAAATATTCCAAATCAAAGGCTGATCAATACACAACTCAGAGCAGTGAAAAGGTCACATTTAATAGCTTAAAGGGAAACAGAAAGCCTGATTTTGTAACGCTGTCAGATCACATATCTTTTAAATGGAATTCTCCCCTCATCCCCGGTAATCCTCATGTTTTTGTATTCAGGCATGTCCACAGTGAGGTGGTGTTTAGTATGCACTGCTGGCCATGCAGCAGCTGATAGAGATGTGCAGCACCATCCCTTAATATCTGTGATTCCTTGGGCTGCGCTGACACTAACTGAAATTATGCACAATTTCCAAACTGCTGCTTTCAGACAGAAAGGCTGTATAGGAGTTTGAGTCCTGTCTCTTTAAAACAATACAGAAGAGTAAACTGGGGAAGCAACAGTATAGTTTGCTCTTAAATCACATACAGCGTGTACAAATGAATGTCTTTGATAGCTCCACTGCTTACAGCCCTGCTAACTTCACCTCAGTAGACCCTCCCTACCTCTCACCTGCAGCCCATGGACTGTTACCATGGAGACGGACAACCCTCAGAGAAAAGATCCCACTGTTTAACAAAACTTTTCCCCATTTGTGGTACTGGGGGGGCACTCAACGCCAAATATTAAAATTTTCTTTTCAGGATTGTGTAATAAATAACCAACATCCACAGAGGGTTGAACGTAGTGCACTAAGAAAATGTTTTTTTCAGTTTTTGTCAGGATTACTTTGACATTCAGAGAAGTATTATTATTTGCTTTCTGGCTGACATGATTAATACTACTTATGTAGTATGTTTTATTAAGAGCTAAAGCTTCTTTTTTCAAACTGAGAATGAACTAAGGGGCTGCACCAGAATCCAGTAAAAAATAAATAAATAAGGGAGGATTACTTTGGAGTGTAAGCATGCAAAGCTACTCTTGTTCAGGTATAAAAATATGGAGGTGAATGAGCATAATAGTAAATTCCCATTAAATATAAATCTGCAGGCAAGATGTGGTCAGATTAGCTTGAGTTCAGAAAACATGTAATAGACACACCGGTCCAGTTTGTCCATTTCATGCTTTGCCTCTCCAAAACGTGAACATGCAGAAGTTGAATTACCAGCGGAGATGATGTATGAAGTTCATTTCAGGGTGCCTAATTGCCAGAAACGATTAAGCTGGCTAATATGTATTTACATGTAAATGTGTTAATAATGTCTGATAAAATGCTTTCCTGTGATTATTTTCATGTGGGCTTGAAATAAAATGTTTCCCTGTGTTGTTACTGCAACTTCTGCATGCGTGTCTGTTTCACATTTGGAGAGGCAAAGTGTGAAATGGACGCAGTGGACCAGCATGTAATATCTGTAATATCTGGTTGTAATGTTGGTCCAGGATCAACATTGCATCTGACCAATCACGTTGTTGTGATGTCATAACTTTGGAATGTGGAGCAAAAAGAAAAAAGAAGCTTTTGTTAATATAAAACCCTCTTCATGAAAAAAATTATAAACCTTTCCAGTGTTTTCTTTATTAATTTGAACAGTGTAATAAATATATTATCAAGTTAGGTTTCCTAGCCAAATTTATGTTACTGATGTTAGTATGCCAGTGATAGTTTTTAATAGCGTTAGCTATTTTTTTGGCTAATGCTAAGACATTGTGACTCGTCAGTTGTCGTCATGTTGATTCTGGACTACAATTGTTATGATGATAGGAGGATAGTAACAACACCAACTCGTTGATATCATGCTCAGTTTCCGCTGAAGAAGAAGTGAAAAGCTATACCCAAATGAACAAACCAAACTGTATCAGATTTCCTTATGTTGATTATTGAACATGCATCAAATAAAGAGGCAGCTTCATTAATGTAAATGCAGAAGGCTTACAACAATGTGTGAACTGGTTACACTAAAAAACAGGGAAAGGTTATTTGAACAGTTACTTCCAAATGTTGCAAAACTGCTCAAGTGCAGTCCAATGCCCTAGTCAGTCCCCTGATCTCGACCCAGCAGAGCAGCTTTTCAGTTACTGACCCAGAAGCAAGCAGCAACTGAAAGTAGCAGCAGTTAAGGCCTGGAAGGGATGAATGATCTCAAGGGATGAATGGGTTCTTTCATCTAATTACTGAAAACAATCCTTATATTTAAATAATGTTAGCTTGTAGCTTGAAAATGAGTAAGTGTGTATAAACATGGCTGCAATTCCTGAACAGTTAATTCTAAATTTTTGTTACGAAATCTTGAATCAAAAGGGAAAGTTTACACTTTCAGTATTATATTTAATATCTGAGGGTGGTACTTTCTTCTTTCCACCAGAAAACAAATAATTGTATTTCTCAAAATGTCCATCTGTTCCTTTAATGACGTAGTTTTTGGTCTGACTTTTTTCACTGTTTTGTTTTGGGGGGTTTTGTGAGTGTAAAGTTACGTGTTTTTACCCCACTCCCCTTTTTCCTTCACTCTTTCTGTGTTTTCTGCTTGTTGTCACTACTTGTACTATCACTCATAGTACTTTGAGTGCTTTAAGCCTCCCCGATAGCCCTCCTGAGTCTAGTCTACTGAGCCTTATTCCAAAAATAGTGACACTGTATCCTTGGTGTACAGTGCAACGTCTGTTTCATATCAACCTCCATTCCATCATTTAGATGCACCTCACACAGTCACTGAGGCATTAAGTGAACCTGTTCTTTCTTATTTTCTCTAATTATAACTCACTTGACTCTTTCAAAACCACCGGGCGCTCAGTTATTTGGTGTCTGCGCAGTGGTGCTGAAATTATTTTTAAATTCAGCGAACAGCAGTGATTATAGCTTTTGTTGTGATTGCATTTCATTATGTTATTGACTAGATTAATTCTGTGTGGCATTTGATAAGATAGTAATGGTGAGATTTCTGAATAGGGTGATAGTGGATCACTGAGCTATTTTATAGTCCTTACTGTGGCGATTCCTTTGTACAAAGCAAGTTTGTTTAGCAGCTTTCAAAGGTGTCTTTCTGAGGTAAATTGAAAGTTACTGTTTGGAAACAGTTCAGACAAATTATATCTAAAAGCAAGGAAAAAAGGGATTAAGTCATGAAAAAGAACATGTTATTCGAGTCATGATATTCAAGTTCTGATTAATTATATCACATTCATCATTGCAAAAACAATCATTCACTTAACTGTCAGCCTACACTTAATGCTTGAATGTCGTTGTGGACGCCCTCCTGTTGTTCACCTGTGTGTCGTGTGATTTGTCCTCAATCAAAAGGTCCCGTACTGATCTCAGCGTTCTGTCTGTACTCGTCTCTGTGACGTCTGAGTCCAGGTCAGTTGGGGTTGGGTTTGTGGCATGCTGAGAAGAAAAGAGGACACTTTATATTGAAATGCTTTTTTTTTTTCAATGGGAATATTTGCAAATTAAGTGAAATATTTTATGCAAATGCATAAAAGTGCCGCAGGCGAGTTCTTGTGAACAGACTATAGCATTCTGTTTTCATACCCTGCAGTCTTAAAATGTGAAAATGACGCATTTGCATCATTTCTCAGCTATTATGCCTGCCTCCGAGAGCCAGCGGCTTGGTCACTGCTGTGTACATGTATGAGTGAAATGGGCAGAATGTCGGGTTCTTGTGGTCCTTTTCTTACCTTAAACTAGGACATAGTGGACTGAGCAGCTACAATAACAAAAGTTTCCTGAATATCACTCCACACTTAGTGAGAATCTGTGTAAATTCGACATTAAGAAGTTGCTTTAATAACATATTTTACAATGAACAGAGTAAGCTTTTGTGCAGCTTTGAACTGAATTATTGTAAATATGTTTTGCCCCCTTTTAGTGACCAAAGAGTAAGACAACTGTCCTCTCCAATTTAGTCAAAGCGTTGGTGATGAGCAGCTGCTCTTCCAAGTTTTTGTTATTCACTGGACACTTGTGGCTAGACTGAGTGCCTGTGAAGTGTCTTAGTCATCGATTTGACTAACTCATAACACTTTTGCTCTCCGGCTCTGTGCGTCTGTCTCTCGTCTATCTCTCTCTTTTTTGTTTTGTTTGTACCTTCTCGTGGGTCTGTCTGTCCGTGTTTTCCTTGTCTACGACCCACCCCACCGTTCCACCCAGTGGGGCTGTGGATAAGGGTGGGCAGGGTGGTGCTGGACCCTCACCGGGGGCCAGTGACAGCGGGGGTGGTGCTTGCTCTGGGACTGGGGCAGGGCCCAGTCGCAGCGACAGCGTGCGGAGCATGGTGACGGGGGGCAGCAAGGCCGGGCGCTGGCAGACGGTCCAGAGCCACATGCATGCCGGAGGCCTGCGGTTTAGCAAGTGAGTGGCGCATGGTGACATGGGGCACGCATGAGGGGCAACAGTGGGCACAACAGCAGCATGGTGTGGCAATCAAGGAAGTGAGTCTGTAAAAATATCTTGGATGGAGTAGTTGCATGTACTCTTTTTTTTTTGTTCTTTTTACACCTTTGAAACCCTGTGCAGGTGAAGACAATGTAAAGCAGGCTTTAAAGAGAAGATGCTTTGCAGAATGCACCTGCTATGCATGAGTAACCGTTTAAACCTCTTGGCTACAGAGAGCTTCCTCACTCATAAACAAATGCCATTTTTATGTCAGCTGCCAACCAAGTGATGTTGCAGACAAAGCAAATTCACGCAGTCGTACTGTTCCTCTGCAGGCTCCAATTTGCTGAAGGCTGTAACAGTTTCAAGAATTTCAGACAAAACAGATGCTCTCTGAAGATCTTCAGAAACGACATGTTCATTCATCTGAAGTAACAGCTTTTTAAACTCTGAGTGGGTTGCTGGATAAACAACAGGAGAGCAGTTTTATCTGGGCTAGTGATACGAATGAACCTTCTGTTAGTAACTGCTGGATGAATATGATAAGATGATACTGTAAACAACATCATTCGATAATGGTGCTGCATAGTGGGAGGAGGTAGTAAAAGTTACCCAAAGTTTGAGCAGTTTTATGGCTTCCGTTGACATGAAACTCCCTTTAATTAATCAGGGCAAAAGGCTGAAAACTGGATTCTTTTTTTGCTAAAGAGTCAGTGTGAGTAAAATGCAGCAACTGTCGATACATACAGTAAATACAAACACAAGGATGTTATCTCTCAGAAACCAAAGGGAAATACGTATACGTAAAGACTAGGGCCAAGTCACAGCATGGCCCCAGTCTTCATTTTGCGTTAACCAAAACAGTCCCAAGTTTCTAAAATTTTGAAGTAGAAATACAAAATAGACTCAGGATAGCTATTTGTTAGCTATAACCTTTCTGTGTGACCTTTACACATTCTTCCACTCATCCCAGGCCCCACTGTGACCCTTCTTTGGATAAGTGGTTAAGAAAATGAATGGATGGAATTAACAGCTGCCCTCATTGTGTGGCATTAAAAAAGAAATACACAAGCTTAATGTAACAGCTTTATTGCAGAGATAAAGATTTATGATTTGGTGTCATTACTAGTGATGTGCGATACCACTGATTTCCTTTCCGATCCGATATCAAGTAAAATTCAGGGTGGTATCGACGATACTGATCCGATATCGATACTTTGTACAAAAAGGTATTTCAGTTATTGTATCTGAAATTATAGCGTCATAATGATTACAGGACATCGGATTACTTGTTCTTATCGCTTAATAATGCACAGTTATCATATAGAAATAAGAAAACTGAAGTTGTGCGCTATTTGAACATGTTGCCTGCCTGCAGCACTAAAGGACTCCGTGAGAGACGTCTGTCTCGCCCTAGCAGCACCTGTCCCTGTCCACTCCTCCTCTTCAGTTCGCCTCAACATAAGCTCGTCATATTCTGTGATATGATTTACTCTGAAGTGCTTGATGAGGTTAGTAGTGTTGCCACAACACCTCACTTTCTTGCCACATGTATTGCAAACTACGTCTCAACCGTTTGTGGAAGTAAAATACGTCTGCACATGACTCCATTTACGCTCAGCCGTTGTTGTGAGTGTGCACAACAAGGGGCTTGACACATTTATACAGACGTATTTCGCGCATGACTATGACAGGCGGGAGACTAAGTAGTTCCTTCCAATGTAGACAATCCAAATGATATAGTTTCTTTCCACTCTGTTCCTGTTAATGATAACCTACAAATTTACCCTAAATTACTAAAATATCAATATTTTAATATGAGTATCGATTCTAGAACATAAATGATTGGTATTGGAGGAATCGATATTTCAGTATCGATCCGCACATCACTAGTCATTACTATACAGCGCTATGACAAAGTTTTTGCCCCTTTCCTGATTTCTTCCTTTTATTTTTTATTATGGCATATTTGACACACTTACAAATTTCAGATAGTCAAAGAAATTTTAATTTTAGACAAAGATAACCAGAGTAAAAACAAAATTCATGTTAAGGGAAAAATGCTATCCAAGCCAGCCTGACCCTCTGTGAAAAAATAATTGCCACCTAAACCTAATAAATGGTTGTGCCCCTCTTGGCAGTAATCAATAGAGCATTTGCAATAACTGACAATGAGTCTATTATATCCCTGTGGAGGACTTTTGGCCAACCCTTCTTTTCAGAATTGTTTGTAATCCAGCCACACTGGAGGGTTTTCCAACGGTCATACCAAAGCATCATAATCAGATTTAAGTCCAGATTTTGAGTAGGACACTGACAACTTGACTTATACTGCCACATAAGCCAAGTGTCCTTGAGCTTCAGAGCATGAACTAACAGCTGACAATTGTGCTTCAGGGTTTTCTGGCAGAGAGCAGAATTCACATTTCCATCAAGAATGTCGTCCAAGTCCCGAAGCAGCAAAGCAGCCCCAGACAAGCACACTATCACCACCATGTTTGATTGTTGATATGATGTTCTTTAGATGCTCTGTTAGTTTTACATCAAACTTAATGGGATTTAAACCATCCAAAAAGTTCAGCTTTTGTTGTGTCAGTTCACAGAATATTTTCCTAAAGATTTTTTGGCCAATGTGAGCTTTTTGCTCAGCAGTGGTTATCACCTTTGAACTCTCGCTTGGGTGCCATTTCTGCTCTGTCTCTTTGTGAATCATGATCTGACCTTAAGTGAGGCCTGCAGTAGTGCACTTTGGTGTTCTGGGTTTTTTGTGATGAGTCCTGGATGAGTCGTTGATGCACTCTTGGAGTAAGCCAGCCACTCCTGGGAAAGTTCACCACTGTTGCAAGCCTTGCACCTCCATTTGTGGATAATGGCTCTCACTGTGGTTCACTGGATTCCTAAAGCCTTAGAAAAGGCTTTGTAACCCTTTTCAGACTGATAGATGTCAATGACTTTGACATATTGAGTTTTTTTAGATCGTGTCACACAGGTTCTGTTTATGTGATATCTTGGGGGCGGTTACTTTTTCACACAGGGCTAGGTAGGTTTGGACCCCTTTTTTTTACCTTAGTAAACAAAATCACTATTTTAAAACTGCAAATTTGATGACGTAAAATATGTAAGTGTGAGAAAACATTTAAAAAAGAAATGTATGTTATCCAACAATGTAAATAATCACAAATAGTGCTTTCAAAACTACAATTAAGTGAATTTTTACAATTATAATTTGTCAAACAAACTGGTTGCTGAAAGCTGAAATTTTTTTTCAACACCTGTAGCACATACAAGATATAATGACAATAACATGTGTGAAACAAACGGTCTCCTGGAAACAGTTTGATCATTGAATTAAGAGCAGTACTCTAATATACAATAGATTAATAAGTGGGGCTCTACAATAGTGTTCAGCACAGTAGATGAAAGCCATCTCTCCACTCAGTCACAATTCCTTCATTATTAGCTAACTCTTCATAATACTGCCTGCCCTTGTTATGATAGAATAGATTAATTAGAAACTAGGAAGCAAAACTGGGATTTCAGAATTGATATTTGCCTCTTGATTGGACTGAAGATAATAGAAACTGCCTCCATGCATAAAATGATGAATGAAAATTAGGGAACTGGAGAGCTCAGCGCACAGCAAGAAAACACAGGCAAATAAACAATTTGCAAGCAAACCAAGAAAACATCTTCACCAATTAGACAGCACATGCCCTAAATGTAGGACAATGGTTCTGTTTCCTCACCTCGCAGCATTTATTGAAATTGTGCTTTCTTGTGTCTGTGCATTATGTTTGAGTGACCTTTATTTAAATAGTATACTGATATAAACACGAATTTAAATGGTAAATGGCCTGTATTTGTATAGCGCTTTACTTAGTCCCTAGGGACCCCAAAGCGCTTTACACTACATCCAGTCACACCCATTCACCCATTCACACACACTTTCACACACTGGTGATGGCGCTACAGTGTAGCCACAGCTGCCCTGGGGCGCACTGACAGAGGCGAGGCTGCTGGACACTGGCGCCACCGGGCCCTCTGACCACCACCAGTAGGCAACGGGCAAAGTGTCTTGCCCAAGGACGCAACGACCGAGACTGTTGGACTGTTGCCGAACCGGCAACCTTCCGATTACAAGACGAACTACCAACTCTTGAGCCACGATCGCCCCACAATTAAGTCATCCCACCACATTATTCTTTACTCCTATCACTCTGTTTTGTTTTCCTGCTCTTTTTAAATCCACCTGTATTTCCATTTCTCCTCTGGAATTGGTTTCTATTTTGGGCATTTACGTCTCTCTGCCATTCGATCTTTCACCCTTCACTGTTGATATTTTCTCGCTCTCCTTGTTTTTCACCCTCCTCAATTTCCCTTAATTACGAAATCATTCAAGGTTTATAGTCATCTTAATTGACTTTCAAGCAAGAAGAAATGTGAAAATAACCCTCTAAGTCAGTAATTGGATACAGCAGATAAAAAGGGACCGTGCTCAGGGTGTATGAATGACTGTGGCTGGTGCCACCGTGCCGATAAAGAAGGCAGTAATGATGTACAGTACCTGAAAGCACAATTTTAAGGGAAACCACTTGAAAAGAGCTTAGAATATTCCAAAAGATAAAATTAGTCAAACTCAAGACAGTGAAAAGACTTGAAGCAGGTAATAGGGCATGTGCTCAGACATCTGGCTTAATGTCACCATTAATCTAACAAGATATACTGATTTTTCATGATGTCAGCTATGAAAACGTGACTATTAAACCCCCCAAAATAATGGGTATTACACACTCACCAGACACTTCATTAGGTACTCCTGTTTAACTGCTCATTAAAGCAAATATCCAATCAATTGGTCAAATGGCAGCAAAGCAGAGTATGCTAAAGTTCAGACTGAGCATTTAGAAGAAAGGTGATTTAGGCAACTTGAACACACATAACCTTTTTAGACTTTTACAGAGAATTGTTGGAAAAAGAGCAAGTATCCAGTGAACATCAGTTCCCTAGATGAAAAGGTTTCGTTGATGCCAGAGGTCAGAGGGGGATGGCCAGACTGCTTTGACCTGATAGAAAGCCAACAATAACTCAAATAACCGCTAGTTATAATCAAAGTATGAAGCAGAGCATCTCTGACCTCACAACACAACAAGCCGTGAAGCAGGTGGGCTACAGCAGTAAAGGACCAAGAACAAGTTAAGAACAAGAAGCTGAAACTATAATTCTCATGGGAAGACCAAATATGGACAACAGAAGATTGGAAAAATGTGGCCTGGCCTGAGGAGTTGGAATTTCTGCTATGACTTTTAGACAGTGTGGTCGGAATTAGACATAAACAATATGAAAAATCCCATCTTGTATCATTTGCTTAGGCTGATTCTTGTGTAATGGTGTGGGGGATACACATTTTCTGCCCTTCAGTACCATCAGTGGCCTCAGTTAGCCTAGCTTACCAAGTAATGGTACTCAAATGGCCTCTACAGTCACTGGATCTCAATCCAATAGAGCCCGTTTGAGTTGTAGTGAAATGGGAGATTCACACAAGTGAATGTTGACATGCTGTCATGCCAGCATGGACCAGAATCTCGGAGTAATGTTTCCAGCACCTTATTGAACCTGTGCCACCAAGAATTTATGCATTTATGAGGGCAAAAGAGGCTTCAACTCATTACTAGAAAAGTGTAACTAATGAAGTGTCTGGTGAATATAGGGGTGTTAAAGGTGTTAAGTCACCTTCTTATTTTGGCTGTACCAAAGTTAGCTGCAAATTTTAGTTCATTTGCTCAAATCATCATGCAACAATAACATAGGTCATCAATTTCCTCTTTTAACATCCCATTATACACCTGCCCACCTGTCCTGCCACATGACAATTCCTTTATCAGAGGAACAATGCATCCTGTAGAGTAAAACACACCCAGACAATCAAATTCATCAAAGCTAAGAATCCTTATAAAATACAATAACTATAGTAAAAAATGCTTTACGTGAAGTAAACTTGATCCATAACGTTTTAAATTAATTGAAGCTAAAATTATCAGAGCACATATAAAGGGATGATCTACTGTAACAGTGTACTGTTATTAAAAATATATATTCTACATAGTCTTGGTGTACAAAGACTCATAAAAGTTTAAATGTTTAGGTTCAAATGATTAATTTAGAAGTTGTGCGATTATATTTTAGTTATTTCATGTTTATGCTTGGATGTGTGGTTGTGTGAACTGTTCGTGTTAAGATTTAAGTTGTTCATATTTCTTACATGAATATTTAGCTTGAAACTCTTTTTCCTCATCAGAGCTTTTTTCTTCTAATGATGATCATATCTTCAAAACAGTTTTGCCCTAATGACGTTACTGTCACGTCGATTTATGTCATAGATTTTGACTTTTTACTGAAAAATCGGACTTCCTGATTGCTGTTGCTCACCTGTTGCACTGATTATTCAAGCTGGGATAATCCAAGCCGTGAAAGTGCTCCTGCTAACAGTCGCCCATAGCTGTTTGTGTAGGAAAATAAATAAAAAAGTCAAACTTCTGGAACCCCAAATGCCCTCCTCCCACTTCAAAACCGTATAATTCTGCTCAACAGAAATCCGCCAAATGTCTTTTATACATTAATTCACATTTATTCAGTTCGAATATTAGGCACAAGTAAACAAACACACTCATCAAAGTCTCTCCCCAGGAAAGACCTAATGGTGTGCTCCATGTGCGTTTGTATGAGAGAAAACGTGCATGCACCAGAGCATGTATATGAGCCCTGTCTTGTATTTACTTGATCCAGCATTGCACTGCTCCTCAGGGTGCTTGTCTCCTGGCTCTCCAACAGAGTCAGAGCTGAGGTAATACCAAAGAGCGCTGCTGTACACAACTCAAGTCCAGGCAGTAAATCCTCCCTCACTGCATTAGCTTCAGACAGAGCTGTTTAGCACAAGCTTACAGTCATCAGGCAGGGCAGTGATTGAGGGGAGGATAAGGGGTGAAGCAATATTACATGCTTGTAAGAGTAGCAGACCTGTAATTAGAGGGCAGACTTAAGGAACGGTGATTGGAGGTGGTGTGGCTATAGAGTGATATGAGGGCTTAGGGTAAAGAAAAGATGAATAGGCAGAGGAGAACCACAAAGGTAAAAGGAAGAGCTGCGAGTGAAAACATAGCAGGAGCCGACAGGACCTTTGAGAAAGATTGGTGGAAGCAAAAGGCAAGAAGGTAGAAGTAGGTCAAGGCTAATTAGGGAGATAGATAACAGAGAGAAAGAAATTCAGCACTGCAGATGGAGAGCCGAGTCTCAAGTGAAGAGATAGTGCTACTATACCTTAAGCTCCAATTTAATTCCACTTAACGCTGAGGTAGGAACCATGTTTGTAGAATCATAAAAGGGGAAAAAAACCTAATAACCTTTCAGCATATTGTAATTACAGTGGTCTTACGGGGGGAACTAGACTTTTGCACTTCTTGTGCTCTAATCAGACGTTGGAGAATCGAGTCTGTGATGGGAGACCGGACCGATCAGATCTTTTCAGACCTGATCACAGGAGTAATGTAAAGTAGAATAAGAGTCCAAGTCCACACGAGAATTAAGATGTTGGAGGTATTAGTGGTTAACTGGAGAACTTTCAGCTGGGAGAGCTGGGTTCATGTTCCTATGTGAAGTTTAAAGCCAGAGTTGATTGTGTGAGCAAATGCTCATATGCTTGATTGCTGGGAGGGAGTTGGCACAAGAAGGAAGAGCTGCAGGAGGAGATCTGTCTATGTTGAAGATTCACCCTTTCTAGATTTCTGCTGCAGTTTTAAGACCTGATCCCACTGAATGCATCACGCACAACAACAAAAAATCTCCCAAACTATGACCGCTGAACACATCAGAATGCAACTCATCAGTTTGTTTGCTCATAGACAGACAGACTGCCTTCATGTGTTTTCTTTTAATGGGCTTATCAGACTAGCTGCTCGTTAGTGGAAAAGCTGGCATGATGGGCATTTAGATTCAATGTAGAGTCACCCATGTCACTCCGTGTGAAATAAATTGATAATTTTATCAACCTGAAGGACAGCTGCAAAGAGGACTACACCCTGATTTTGGCATTCTGATGCTGCAAATTGTGCATTTCCAGTGGGACCAGTGTCACTGGCTGCAGGTTTTTAATTTGTCTGTGATTCTACAAAAAGCAGAGGTTTGTTTAGTCACCAGTTTGGATATGAATGATATGTTGTATGCCAGACTAAACACGTATGGTCAGCTAGGCAACATAAGGTTCAGCACAGCTGTTTTTTTGCAGATGTTTAACAAGTATCTCAAGCTTGTTGGCAACTCCTTCTTTACTGATCTTTGCTCTCTCTCAAGTCTCTCTCCCTTGGATATTCACTGCAGACTCCTAGAATTCAGTCAGTGCTGTGCTTATGTATGTTTTGGCCATTTTTATCCTCTCTTCCTTTTGATATCAACATAATAACATGTTACAAATTTGTTTTATACTTTCATCTTTCACCCTTTCATCTCAAAACGGCCTGCTCTTTCTTCTATATTCCCATTACGTATCTCTAACTCCATTTATTTCCTTTTTTTTTGTATCCATCTCTGTCCTCGGTGTTCCCATGTATCCGTTCAGCTTTGGGGACGCTTCCCTTTCATCAGCTTCCACCCTGGAGCACATCCCGTCCTCGGCTGTGGCACGCCCTCGGCCCCTGGTCCGGCAGCAGAGCCTCCAACAGCCCCTCACTCACCAGCCTCCTCCGGGTCCCAACGACCCCCCAGTCACCTCGCAGAGTCTGGGCCAGTTGCACACAGGCCCAGGCGGGGGGGGCCACCGTGGGGGCCCGCGGGGGGTCCGGGGGAGTCCGGCTGGAGCCTCCCGGTACAGAGGAACAGGGACAGGCCGATCAAGGTCAAATCCAGGCAGCTGGGACCACATGGTGGAGCAAATCCGAACCCGAGGTCTGGATGTTAAGTCGTTCCTGTAAGTACTTTACTTTCCTATAAGTAAAGTTGAGGATCATATGTGCAGCACTGCAAATACAAATTTCTAAAATTTAGTGCACCATTTCATTGTAGTCTCTTAAATTCTGCCTTCAGTTTTCAAATTATCGTTTGTGTGCTGGAGTGTGATCTGTGGCATTGTCAGTCTTCAAATCCTGTAAGTAATAGTATAAATAGTCGAATGTGAAATTACTTTGTAAAATAAAAGTTCTGCTTTCAAAAGTGTACCAAAATATAAATGTTTAATATTACTCATAACAAGAGAAGTATAGCAGGAATAATAAAATGGACCCGTGAGTGTCACACTAATACATAATTATCACTATATCATTAATGTTTAAATAGCTTTTTGCTGCTGCAGGTGGTTGACGGGGCTAATTTGACCTGTTTTAAATGCACCACATTTGTGGTTAAGTTGATAATAAATCATCTTTGTACGTAAAAGTAGCGGCTCAAACTTCCTTCTGAAATGTAGGCAATTAGAAGGAACACACTCAAATTTTAAATACTCAAAGAAGTAACTCAAACGTTGCATCCTACTGCTTGAACGTGGTGCTGTTAAATCTTGTTGAGTGCTGCTGAGAGGTGTTTTTGTTCGCCCCCCTTTTTTTCACTCATGCCTGACAAAATAAAGCTCTCAGTATAAAGCACCAGAAACAGAAAGAGACTCTTCATGAGTGTGGGATTTCTTGAAGGGCTGCCGAATAAGCTGTGGTCTAATAAAGTGACAAAATGGCAAAGCGTGTGCTTTTTACACAGGATGGAACCAAAATCAATTGCAATCCTCTACGGTCTCTGCAGAACTTCAATTTATTAATTTTGATGAGGTTGTCCCCAAGAGACTCATTTAAATGATTATTTTCAGGGTGTAGTGATATTAATATGCATGTAGTAGAAAAGGTGTGTGTCAGGCATCAAGGGTTTTAACATATTAGTTTTTCATTGCTGTTAATTGCCAATCATGTAAATGTCTCAAATAATAGGTGATATTATCTTCTCTTAAGGTATTTTATAATCACTTTCTAATGTTCTTCAGCTCCCATTTATATTTATTTGTGTTTATTTACTTGTGTGTAGTTTTCAATTTTACAAAAACAGCGCTGGCACATGCAAAAGTTCAGATTTAACATCTGTTTATTATCATATATTTAATATATTTTTATAGTAATTCCAGCAGGTCATAAGAAAAACAAATTTGATTTAAACTTGTCTGGTCTGGAACTGTGCATCACCACAGCATGCATATATTAACTACACAGCAGCACCATAAAATACAAACTTCTGTTTTTTTCCCTATTACGTGCATCTTTTATGTCTTGATTTAGGTGGTATAAAACAGCCAGATACCGCGGGATAGCGTTAGGCCTAACAATAAAATAAACAATCTTTAAATATTCAGATTTCAAAACTTGTTTTCTTCTAAAGTTTTTTTCAAGACAGACTGATAAAAAAAAATCCAATCATAAGCAGAAATCTTATAACAAGCCCAACATGGGTTACAAAAAAATAAAGCAAAGTTAGCCAAAGTCACGAGTGATTTTTCAACACCAATTTTCCAACTCATTCTTCACTGAGTAGAGAAGCTTCTGGTGTGCGATGGTCAGTGATTGTTTTTTGATACCGAGCATAGAGAGCCTTCCTCCACCCCTTGGCTTGAGTGATAGATTACAGATGATGTGCTCTGCAAAGCAGCCTCATGTAAAAGCTCTCCTTCCCGCCTGACCGCAAACATAGATGCTCACACACATCCATACACATAGCTCTTTGCTCTGTACCTTTTACATGTCCGCCCATTAGCAGTGTCTCCGGGGCTATTGACCTCCCTGCCTATGTGAATCATCATTCAAATAAGGCTGTGCACATGCACACGAAGGTGGTTGTCCCTGTCCTCGTGAATCTCGTTGGACCAAACACGCCAGCGGTTGACCCTGGAGGTGGTGGGAGAGGGAGACGTGGAGGTGGGTGGGGGCAGTGTGGGTATCATGCATTTGTGATCAGTGGTGTATAAACAAGCAAAAGCAGCAGTTTCACCCTCCAGCTGTGTCCATACCTGTCACGCAGTGTGGCGTCTGAGCTGCTCCCCTTTCATTTTCCGATCAATGAACCTGGTGTAGGTGGCAATGATTTTAGCGTGGAGCACGTGTGTCTTCTTTTGGTCATCTATACAAATCCATTCACTTTATCGATGAGCGTCATGTAGATGCTGTTTACACATCCCCAGTGGGCTGCAGCCTCTCAAGTACTAATGTGTTCCTCTTGTTGTCAATACTACTTCAACAAAGAGCACCTTGTTTGGTCGGGAGCACTCCAGAGAGTGGGGACAAAAAATATGAAATGTGCAGAGATGAGAGGAGGAAGATCAGAGAAAAGCTAAGAAGAAACTGAAAACATCAGGAAGGAGATAGGATTCATTTTTTTTTAAAAAAAATATTTTGATCCTATTTAAATCTATTTATGTTTCTAAGCAACATGCACGTCGACACGTGAAGTCAGCGCTGCCAACGTGACTGGCTCGCTGCTGCAGGAGTTAAACTTTTCCAGTTCAATTTTTGAGAGAAAATAAACATTTGGGTCTCTGCAATTTCATTAGCACCCACCACTATCTGTTATTCACAACAAAGGCATTCAGATAAACGTAAGACAGCAGCTAATCCACCAAATAAAAAGTAAATAAATAAATAAATGTGAGGCTGAATCTTTTATAGCTAAGCCTAAAACTAAGCCAGCTGATGTTAAGGGCTGCAAGACATCAGAAAAAAAACATGTTTTGAAGTTGGATTTGGCTTTTAAGGGAAGAGGTAGTGGCAAAGAATACTATATGTCAAGGTTGTCCTTGGATCATGCATGCTATGTTAGAGGGTTGTAAAAAATGAAAAATAAATGTGGTGAATGGAGAAAAAAAACTAGAAGAGTGTACAATATGTACATACATGTGACTTACTGTCTGTGACTGTGAATCACAAGGTTAGTTGTGGGCAAATGCTCATTTGTTAAGGGCACTGTTTGCATGGCCTTGAATTCATGGCGCAGTGTTGTTCAGTAAAATGCATTTTGGATGATTTCAGGCTTGTTTAGAGAGACAATAACAGCTGCAAATGAACATTGTGTTTCTTTGTTGCAGGTATGCTTGCACCTCTGTTTTTGTGGACTTTTCTTTTTGCTTTGCATGTCATTTGCATGTCATTTCAGGTGATTCTGTTTTTCTCTGAGACAATCCAAACCTTTCTTTTAGGGTTTTCTGTACAAATATTAACATATTTATTACTCACAGAGGCAACATACAGTGGTGTTAAAAAAAAGTGATCGCCCCCACTTATTTATCAAAAGTTATTCTTTGTTGAACATCACTTTTGTTATTCTCTAACAAACAAAAACAATAGTAAATGATAGCCACATATACAATGTCAGTGCAGTGTTGTGTCAGTGTTAATGAACTGAAGAAATTCAGCTTTGAAGCAATAAATTGGCAGAAAAAAAATCTCTACTCATCCTAATGCTACAGCATACAGTACATTAGGCAATCAGAGGGATTACACATTATCTGAAATGTTACAAAACTTTAATGTAATTCAAAGACCTGGTGACTTTTCTTTGCAAACTCACGGCTTCGAAGAGTTAATGGTAAAGAACAAAACTTCCCTGATAACTTAAGGTTTAAATCATTTGTGTAACAAACAGCACTGATAATAAAACCAAAGAATGAATAAATACTAACCTGGGATCAATGAAAGGTTCCGAATTAATTGTGCTTCCTTGTTATCTTTAACAAGCATACATAATCTACACTGCCAGACCAATAATAAGTCACCACATTCAGCTGAATTGCTGTGTAGCCTTAAGAAAAACACTTATCAATGAAGCTAATTAGAAAAAAATGTATATGGGTCAGTGGGAAAAGGGTATCATCAGGGCAAGAAGAGCGGCAGATGGATGCACCCATGATGCTTAGTGACTATCATACAAGCCTGTTGGGGCGGTGTTATCGCCGGGGGTTGCTTCAGTTGGTCAGGCCCAGGATCAGCAATCTTAGGTGCCCAAAAATGAGATAAGCCCCAGACCAGGATGACTCGGTTCTCCCATTAATGGATTTTTTTCTTCCGTGATAGAGCCGGCATATTCCAAGATGACAATGCCAGGATTCATCAGGCTCAAAGTGTAGAAGAGTGGTTCAGGGAACATGAGAGATCATTTTTACACATGGATCTGCCACCACAGAGCCCGAACCGTAACCTCACGCAGCGATCCATCTCTTGTGTATATTAATGCAACTCTCAGCATAAATAAATATAGTGATATTGTGTAACCTTATAGAAATAATGTAATGGTAAATGCATGCTGCTGTCAAAGCTAAAGGTTGTCCAACAAGGTATTATTTTTTTCTGGCTAGAAAATGTATATTAGTGTAAAAAACTATATATGCACATCAAACTAGCTGGCAGTCACATTTGGAATAAGGGGTCAGGTTATGTACAAAGGTACATGTCATGCATTAAAAAATGAAGTGTTTTCCAAATTCACTATAAGAAAATTACATTTTTGATAACTAAAACTGTCGGGAATACAAGCATTCATGTCCTATTAAAGAGCCTTTGTATCACTTCCTAGCTCGCAGGTTTGGATGAGAGACATTTAAAAGTGCAGTGTGGATTGAACATATGTTAAGGATGAAATATAATAGTGTCCTCACAGCAATCTACCACCTCTCTCCCACTCCCTGTCTTTGTACATGAATTGTGTGCCGTGTGTATGTGTCGCTGCTTGTTTTTTTTGGATGTGTGTGCCCCTGTGCCTATTTGCCCACATGCCTCTATGGTCTTGTGATGTCCTGTCTGTCTGTCTGTCTGTGTGCGTGTGTGTCCAGTGAGGGGAAGATGGTTGTTCTGTCTCTAGCAATCGGGCTGGCTGAACAGGATGACTTTGCCAACCTCCCAGATCTACAGGAAGCGCCAGCGAGCAAAGAAAATGAAACCACACCAGAGAAAAGGTAATGAGAGAAAGAGAGAGGGGAATGTGAAGAATGTGAGTTGTTAAGCACAAAAACAAAACGAGCAGCTGAGGTAGCTGCTTGTCATACGGTGAAGAGGTGTGTAATGGATTGTAATTTTACGCGGGGCAGGGCTATTTATCTCCACTGTGGTGATGAAGGAGTGCGCACTGTGCAGTAGAGTCACCTGAAAGATCAACACTTCATGGCAATTTTAGTCTTGCTTGAAATGCAAATTATTCATAATTACCCTACCACTAAGCAGCATATTACAAACCAACAGTTATGTATTTACTGTTATCATAAATAATAACTGTATTTAAAGATGTAGACCTTCTTTCTAAGGTTTCACATTATCAAGACTTGGTAAACATAATCTGGTCCTTATCAACTGTTACAATGAGCTAAATATAACTACAATACATTACATATTACACTGTGTGATTATTTACTTATTTAACAAAAACTAAGCCAAAGTACAGATGCAGTGTGTGTAAGATTAACTACACCTTTATAGCTTTTATAGTAATTTAAAGGGTGAGGAACAGCCAGGTGCTGGTAATCAAGTGCAGTTTGATTAGATATCATCAGTAAGTGTGAGCATCACTATATGAAGGATTATATGGCCAATTTGAAGTCTGTCATTCTACAGTGAGAAAGATTATTCTCAAGCAGAAAACATTCAAAACATTCGCCAATCTTCCCAGGAGTGGACATCCCAGCAAATTCGCCCCAAAGTCAGATTGTGCAGTATTCTGAGAAACTGTGAAAAGAGCTACATCTCAGACTCTACAGGCATCAGTTAGCATCCTAATTGTTAAAGTTCATCGTGGTACAGTTAGAAAAAGACAGAACAGTATGGCTTATTTGGAAAGGTTACCAGGAGAACAGCTGTTCTCTTTAGAAGAACATGGCAACGCAGCCAATGTCTGCAAACGTAAATCCGAGCTAACGCACAAGACTTCTGAAGCAGATGATGCTCGCAGTCGTGTTTGGTGAAAGCCAAACACATCAGCACAAACATCCCATATCAGCTGTTAAGCACTGCGGTGTTTGTGCTGTGCTTTGTTTGGCTTTCACCAAACTGGGTGATGATTTGTGCTTGTTTTGGACCCACAGGACCTCTGGCACTATGCAGCCATTGAGTCGACCATGCTAGAGTCAAATGTGAGGCCATCTGTCTGACAGCAAATCTGAAAAAGAATGATTGCAAAGAAAAGAAGTGCTTCAATGGCCCAGTTCAAAGCCAGTCCTCAGCCTCATTAAAATGTTAATCTGGGACTATGAAACATCTGTGTACGAATAAATATTCACAAACTTCCAAGGATTGAAGCAAAATGTAAAGAAGAGCGGGCAAAAATTCCTCCACAAAAATGTGAGAGGATGATAACGTCCTACAAAGGAGCGATTGCTTCGAGTTTTTGCTGCTGAAGGTGATTCTAGAAGTTGCTGAATTGTGGGGTGGGGTGTGTTTCACACACTGTTTCGATAGTTTGGCTTAGTTTCTCTTAAACTTTCTGTTAAATAACGACATGGTCTAATGTGTGATGTTTTGTTGTTCATCTCAGGTTGTATTCATTTTATTTTATGACCTGGTAGGGATCAGGTTTAAAATGTCCTGGTGTGTAGAGTCTTAGAACTTAAAGAAAATTGATTAGGGGCTTTACTTTCTCTTTACTGTGACAGATCTAAATACCTCTACAGTGAACTTTTTATATATGTAACCTTATTGTTATTTCAAAGCCGATACTGCCAGCACTGTAATTCTGTTTAATAGTATGTCTTTTGTCTTTTTTTCCAAATAAAATAAAAATGTTCAATCTAAAAACAAGCCAGCCTTTTAAACTCCATAATGTACAATCTACTTCTGATGTAATTATTTTACATTGTGTAAAACTTCAAAGCATTTGGGTATTAAGATTGTTAATCATCTTACAACAGTATCAGTGTCACTCCCAAATTCATTCTGCAGTCTGACAATAAGACCGACATGCTGCCTCAGTCGTAGAGAGCTGCAGCAGGAAACTTGCAGCAGATGGTGTAAACCCCACAGAGCTCTGATCTCAAAATCATGGAGTCAGTCCGGGATTACCTGAAGAGAGAGGACAGTGAGACAGACTGTGGCAAGTTCCCCCAAGATACTTGATACAACCTGTCTGCTGTATAACAGTATAAAGAATAACTGTGCATAAGCGTGGTGCTGTCTGAAAGCTTTATTTATTGTTGTGCTTTTGTACAAAGGTAACTAATCAAAATACTCATGACATTTTGTTTCTTTTTTTAATCACCCAAACCTTTAGTGTCTTTTCACTCCTCTGAGAAATTCACCCAGAAATAATACTAAGAAAGTGTCTTTGGTATTCTCAGTGGGCAGCCCTGCTTGGTACATTTATATTAGCTGGGTTTCTATCTTTAATTATTAGGTTTTTCCAGCTTCCAGCACTAAAGAGCTTTCATTTCTTTTGCCTTTATTTTTACCTTTATGTTTTCTCAAATTTCTCTTTTGCATACCCACATTTTGAGTTCCTTTATCCCATTTTTCATGGCCTGTGTTTTCTCCATCCAGACCTCTGATGGTTGGCTTGTCTGCATCTCTTCACTGGTGGTTTGATCTTTGAGTTGCAGGCATACGGGAAGGGCACCCTCATTATTTACGAGTAAGATTCCTCACATGAAACACCCGTCTAAAAATATGCTAACCTCTCATCTACCAGTGATCTCAGAGCAGCCGTCAGAGACTAGCACAGTTTCTCAGCTAGTGAACAAAGGACTGAACAGGCTGCTCCCTTATCGCATCTGTGTTTGACGGATAAAGTGCTTATCCCACTGTTTTGACACTACTGGGCAGAGGATAAAGTAGAGGTGTAGTTCATCATAAAGGTGCAGTTTTTTTTCGAGGGCTCTGTCTGTTTGTTATGTTTTGTTTACCTTTGCAGAAATTCTGCTTTTGAATTGCATTAAGTTTCTTAAATGCTCAGAGTTTTCCCAAAACCTCTCTGCAGTGCATATTAGTGTGCCGTTCTAACTAGGTCAGCTGTGAATTTGCGGTTGATGGAAAACCAGAAGTCTCTCTTGGAAGAAAAAATGTGATAAATGTTTCTTCTTCCTAATGTCCTTTTATTTTTTTCTTTTAATATTTAATATCAAATATCTAAGGACAAGTCAGGGAAGAGGACTAGTCTACCTCTTGTCCCCATGCTCTCTCCCTCTCGCTGTCTGGAGGTCTGTCAAACACCCAGCTCTAATCACAGCCAGCCTGCGAGCCTCTACCCAGAGGGCTTGCGTGGGCCAAGTTGTCTAGTGTCCTTCCACAGCTAATAACAGCTCTCCATCATCATCTCTGTCCATCTCCCTCATCTCTCTTGTCTCTCCTGCTACCTCTTAAGCTCCCTGTGCCCGTCTGTTCGCTTGCTCCTGGCCGTTTTCACAGCGCCCAGCAGCCTGAGTACGACGCAAAGAGATGATCCGGCCAAGACGAGAAGCCGTCAGACAGAAAGAGCGGGAAACCTTTGTTCTCCGATTTGCAGAGAAATATGCAACAAGATAAAAATACACACACCCATGGAGGTCTGAGGTTCTGTTTGTTTATTAATGAAATCAAGTACAGCTCAGAGCACAAATATCTACAGACGTCTAATCTGATAACAGAGAAATGACAGGATAGAGACAAACCCAGTGTATGCTGTGTATTAGCACAGATCCATATTTGTTGAGACAAGGTTAGTAATTGCGAGCAAAAGGAACATACTGTAGCACTAATATTATAATGAGTATGTTAGCTCAAAGTGCATATATATATATATATATATATATATATACACACACACAGAGATATTTGGTCCATCTGATCAGCGAAGTCCAATATTCACTCGTAATTTAGCTCTCATTCTCTACTGTGTCCAGACACTTGTTGCTAACTTTGTCACGCTGCCATCAATGCTGGGCAGGTAGCGTACAACAGATGCCTGATGGAAACAAGCTTGATGAAAGCAGCGGGACTGAACCAAATCACTGAATGCGTGGGCTGCTAAACATCTCTGTAAGGGCAACTGCAGAGCCGATGATGACTCTTTGTCAGTTCAGTATTCTGGGCTATCTCTTTCACAGTAGGCAGAGTCATTCGAGCCATTAATATGAAAATATTAGTGCAGCTTTAATGTGTTTCTAGGATTCAGTCACTAGTTGCTAATCTACATCATCTCAGCTGCAAAGCAAATTATTGGCACGAATCATATCAGAGCCCCTCATTCAAAGAAAAATATGTCTACAATAATAAAAAGATCTATCTTTTGTCTGCTCCATAGCAGCAGACCGCCGCCGCCTTAAAAAATGACTATGGAGTTAAAATAATAAAAATGTTAAATGACAGTAAGTGTGATGATCCAGACATCTGTGGTCACAGCACTGAACCAGCTACTGACAGTGACTAATACCAGCTGGACGCAATAAAAAATATCATATGATCAATTTGTCACTTGGATCACTTTTACGTAACAAGGCAACATTTTGTTTTTGTCAAATGAGAAAGCATTCGTTGCTTTCGCACTCAAGAAAACCTGCAGCAAAAGCGTCTTGTTGAAAATGGGATAAATGGCTCATGATAAATGGAAGAAAATCCCAATTTCAGAATAAGCAACGATAACCTAAAGGGCGTATATTTGTTTAATTTTCATGTTGTTGCGAGGGCAGCAAAACATGCTGAGTCGTACAGGGTAAATCAGTGCTGACAGAGATACACCGTAGTGCAATGCACTCAGACATTAGAGCTGCTTATCAAAGCTTTGGATGCTTTGTTACTGTCTGTGACTCATCTAAAGCCTGAAATACTTGCACAGCATCCTGTTTTAATTGCTGAACCTCACCTCACCTCTAAAAAAAAGTGTGTCATGTTTTGTGAGAAGTTTAAATTTAGTGTTTGATTCAGGATACAAAGCCAGTGTCAATACAGTGCTGTGCAAAAGTCTTAAACCAACCTTCATTGCTTAATATTTTGTTGAAGC